CGGCTGCCCCCCATTTTCTGTGGCCGTTTGCGGTCCAGTACGCCGCGCATCAGCTCAACCTCTGGCCCCGTGTCTCCTTGCCTGAGACCTCGCCCACACTGATGTGGACGGGGAAGGTTGGCGATGCGTCGCGTTTCCGGGTCTGGGGTGCTCGTGCCTTTGTCCGCGATGCAACCGCGGACAAGCTCTCCACCCGCGCTGTTCCCTGTGTCTTCCTTGGCTTTGTCCCTAACGCGCCTGGTTGGCAGTTTTACCACCCCGCCTCGCGCCGTGTCTTCCCCTCTCATGACGTCACGTTCGACGAGTCGGTTCCCTTTTACCGTCTCTTCCCCTACCGCACTGCCCCTCTCCCCCCCCCGCCGCTCTTCCTCGCTCCATGTGCTCCCCAGGTAGACCCCCTCCCCGCTCCCGGTCCTGCTCCTTCAGGTGTATCTCAGGTAGACCCTCCTCTCTTGCCTGCACCAGTTGAGGTCACTGGTGACTCAGGTCCTGCTAAGGGTGATCCTGCTCGGGGTGCTGCTACTGGGGGTGCTGAGCCTTGGGATGCGGAGCCTGGGGGTGCTGAGCCTAGGGGTGCTGAGCTTGGGAGTGCGGAGCCTGGAGGTGCGGAGCTTGGGGGTGCGGAGACTTGGGGTGCTGAGTCTGGGCGTGAGGAGTCTGGGGGTGCTGAGCCTGGGGGTACTGAGTCTGGGGGTGCTGCACCTGGGAGCGCTGAGGCGTCTAGTGAGCAGTCTCCCGAGGGCAGCCGTCTCCGTAGTCACTCCGCTAGTACCTCGCCGCTGCACTCTCATCGTCGACTCCCTCTCTCCCCACAGCAGCTACGTGAGTGGTACGTTGGCCGTTAGGGTCGCGCTGCTGGAGCTAGGGGCCCTGCTGCGAGAGGCGCTGGAGCCGGTGCCTCTGTTACTGGAGTTGTTTCTGCAGGAGGTTCTGGAGCTGCTGAGGGTGCTGGAGCTAGAGGTTCTGGAGCTGCTGCGGGTGCTGGTGCTAGAGATTCTAGAGCTGGAGGTTCTGGAGCTGCTGAGGGTACTGGCGCCGGAGGTCCTGGAGCTGCTGCGGGTGCTGGCGTTGAGGGTTCTGAGTCTGCTGTTGCGCGGTCTCCTTGGAGTAGCCGCCTTCGTCCGCGTGTACCTCTCACCTCTCAGCAGCTGCACGACTGGTACGGTCGCCGTCAGGGTCGCGCTTCTGGGGCTCGGCGCTCTGCCGTTGGAGGTACTTTTGCTGCCGTCACTGGAGCTGAGGATGGTGCTGGTCTCGGAGGTGCTCGTACTGGAGGTACTGGAGCTGCTGGGGCTGGAGGTGCTGAGCCTGACGGTGCTACTGCTGGAGACCCTGGGTCTGGGGGTGCTGCTGCTGGTGACACTGAGGCAGGGGTCCCTGGGACTGGAGGTGCTGGTTCTGAGGGTGCTGCTACTGGAGGAGCTGGTCCTGGAGGAGCTGGCGCTGAAGGGTCTGGTGCTGCTGGAGGTGCTGGAGCTGCTGGGGGTGCTGGAGCTGCTGGTGCTGGTGGCACTCCACAGCCGCGCCTATTCTTTGCTCCGCTGTCTCCGTCGTCTCAGCGACCGTCTGACTCTGTACTGTGCTAGGTTCTTAGTCTCCCTTCGTCTACTGGTCTTCCGTTACAGCCTGGCTCACCGCTGCCTGCTCCTTCTCCTTACACTGAGCAATCAGGGAGTCTTACTGAGCGTCGTGAGCCTGCGTCGCGTCCTGTCTCGGCTGTCCGTTCTGTTCGTTTCGGTCGTCGTGTTCCTCGTTCGCGTCAGCCGGTTGTCCCCGGCACCCACCTCATAGTTCGTCGTCCTTCCTCTCCTCCGCAGCGTGTTCCCCTGCCGTCCCCTCCTGTGTCTTCTCTGCCTACCGTTCCTGAGCATGAGTCTGACCGCATTCGTGCTGCTAGCCCTACTGTCACACGTCTGCTAGCCACAGTTGTCACTGACCAATCGTTTGAGTATGCTGCTGCGTCTGCCTCAGTCGCTGAGCTTGTTGACTTTGCTGCTGCCTGTCGTCTAGACTACGCCACTAGTCTTGTTGTTGAGTTTGAGTCTGTCTGTCCTCCGTCTGTCGGGGGTGAGTGTGCTCTTGGCACGAACGTCCTTGAGGACAGGCAGGAGGACCTTGAGTATCTTGCAGCCGCTGCGCCTCATCTCGTGTCCATGCTGCTTGCCCCTGAGGGAAACCCGGATGCTCCAGACATCCCGACCCCGCGCTCTTACGAAGAGGCGATCGCGGGTGAGTACTCCTCTCAGTGGCAGACGGCCATGGACGCAGAGATGGCATCCTAGAAGTCTACAAGCACCTACGTCGACGAGGTTCCCCCTCCTAGGGCAAACATCGTCAGTGGCATGAGGATTTTCAGGGTGAAGCGGCCGCCAGGTTCTCCGCCTGTCTTCAAGGCTCGTTACGCTGCTCGAGGTTTCAGTCAGCGAGAGGGAGTTGACTTCTTCCAGACCTTCTCCCCCACCCCGAAGATGACCCCTCTTTGGGTGCTGCTGCACGTTGCCGTTCAGCGTGACTACGAGCTTCACTCTCTTGACTTCAGCACATCTTTTTTGCAGGGCAGTCTGCACGAGGAGATCTGGCTGCGCCGCCCTCCTGGCTTCACTAGGTCGTTCCCTCCTGGTACCCAGTGGAGCCTCCGGCGGCCGGTCTACGGACTCCACCAGGCGCCATGTGAGTGGCACGACACACTGAGGACGACACTTGCGGCTCTTGGGTTCGCGCCTTCTACTGCTGACCCGTCGCTGTTTCTGCACACCGACACTTCGCTGCCGCCGTTCTACATCCTCGTGTACGCCGACGACTTGGTCTTTGCCACTGCTGACTCTGAGGCTCTCGCCTTGGTGAAGGCGGAGCTGCAGAAGAGACACGCGTGCACAGACCTGGGTGAGCTGCGCAGCTAACTTGGCTTGGAGTTCACCCAGGACAGAGCACGCCGCACCATCACACTGACTCAGTCACACATGGTGCAGCAGGTCCTTCATCGCTTTGGCTTCACCTGGTCCTCGCCACAGCACACTCCTCTGGCTACAGGTCACTCGCTCTCAGCTCCACCTTTGGACGAGTCCGTAGAGCCGAGTGGTCCTTACCCAGAGTTAGTCGGCTGCCTCATGTACCTGATGACCTGCACTCGTCTTGACCTTGCGTACCCTCTTGGCCTTCTCGCTCGCTACGTGGCTCCTGGTAGGCACCGACCGGAGCACATGGCTGCTACTAAGAGGGTACTGCGCTACTTGTGCTGTACATCGGGCATGGGGCTCGTGCTTGGAGGGCGGAGCCCAGTTGTCCTCACTGGGCACCCGGACGCTTCTTGGGTTGACGACCTGGCTACACAGCGGTCGTCACAGGGTTACACCTTCAGCCTTGGCTCGGGCTCTGTTTCTTGGCGGTCTACACGCTCGTCTTCTATTCTCGGCTCCAGTTGTGAGGCTGAAATCTACGCCACAGCCATGGCTGCACAGGAGCTACGCTGGCTAACCTACCTGCTGACCGACCTGGGAGAGCGGCCTCGTTCTCCTCCAGTGCTGTACGTAGACAACAAGGCCGCCATTGCCTTGTGTCAGGAGCACAGACTGGAGCACAGAACGAAGCACATCGCTCTGCGTTACTTCCTTGCTCGAGAGTTGCAGCAGCGAGGTCAGCTTCGTCTTGCTCACGTGGCCATTCGGGCCAACACTACTGATATATTCACCAAGGCACTTCCGTCTGGTGATCATCAGCGTTTCTGTACTTTGTTAGGCCTGGTGCCTACGTTTCCTCATTTGCTGTAGACCTTGTTTGTACTGTGATCTATATATATACCTGCATGCTTGCTTTGCTAGGTAGAGATCACAGTGATGCTGTTGTTGCATATATACCTCTGCATGTGAACTGGCCTTGTGGCCCTTTGCTTGTGCTCAGTGTGTGTGGTGACGTTGTGATCCACCCTGAGCTTGTTTTGCTTCTCTTGACTGGTCTTGAGACCCCTTGCTCTCCCCCACTTTGCCTATGGGGGTGTGTCAAGCTATGATAATGCTTGTGCTGTGTAGGCTGTAGTGGGGGGTAGCCCATAAGGGGTACAACCTAAATTAGGGTTACCGTAAGCCCCTGGATAGAAGCGCAGGCCTAGGATAAGCGCCGGCGCTTATAAAAGGATGAGGGCGCTTATATCCGGTCCTCGATTATAAGCGCACCCGCTAGAAAAAGATGATATATTATAAGCGCATGTTTGTTTTTTATTTGAAAACCTTTCGACTATCAGAAACAAATTTCACATAATCAGGGAAACGAACTACAATTTCGATTTCCCACACTCTGAACTCACTATTTGCGCGTCTAGTCAGCATGTGCTGTAATTCTGTCAGGGTGAGCTGGCAGGGAATCACTCCCTGCCAAGCTGCGCGAGAATCAGATTAGCGACCCTATATGTTTTCGACTCGATTACAATCGGCAGAACGAGATATACAGTTTGGTGTAAAACAAATATATATTCTTTTTGCCATTTTATAAGCGCCGGCACTTATAAAATTCCTCAATTATAAGCGCACCCCCTAAAAAACAGTGTTTTTTTATAACCCCAGGGGCGCTTCTATCCGGGGGCTGGCGGTAGGATATGTACCCACATCTCTGTTCAATGCATTCATTCCTGCTGCTAGATTCTGACACGGTATGCTGTGCGTGTCCGACAACCAAGAAGTTGAGGGACGAGTGCATTGTGGAGCACGGGGAGGAGTGCACCAAGTGGATGGAGGCACACAAACAGTGCTTAAGAAGCGAGGGCTCTAATGTCACACTGTACGGTAGTTACCATTGCTCTTATAGTTACTGCAGCAGGGGGAAAGGGCAGCACTAGTCAGTCAGCCTGAAAAAATAAGTGATTCTCAGGTGCATAGCATATACACAAGGGCTTAACATACATGTACCGATGCAACATTTGCCTGCTTTCCGCCACCTTCAGTCCATATTTAGATCACACCCCAAAAAAAAACCAGGGCAAACAGAATCCACCACTCAGAACTCAAAAATCAGCGCTCAAACAGAATGCACTGCTCCTTGGCAATTACTACCCCCGGAAGCACACCGATGTCCAACGCCAGAAGCGTACCCACGTTAGTCTTAATCCTCTCAAGCCCTGGTAGGCTCTCCAGGCACGCTATCCCCCTCTCACCCAATCTACAGTCCTTCAACTCCAGCCTCTTCAGCCCCGTCAGCTGCTTCACATGCTCCATGCCCGTGTCTGCGAGCTCTGTCGGCGCAGAGAAAATCTTCAGGTTGGTTAAGGCGGTCAGGTGCCGCAGGCCCTTGTCCCTGACCCTACTGCCCCGGAGATACAGCTCCTCCAGGCCTGTCAGCCTCCCCACGTGCACCATGCCAGCATTCGTGACGCTCCCACAGTTATGCAGCCACAGGATTTTGAGCGAGGCAAGGCTTGTCAGGTGCAGCAGCGCAGCATCAGTTACCTTGGTATAGCTCAGGCAGAGATCCTTGAGTCCTGTCATGGCATTGATGCCTTCCAGGGCATTCTTGGTACGGCCGTCCAGAATGGGAGAGTGCCGGAGGTCAAGCTTTGCCAGACCTGCCAGCTTGAACACGTGCTTTAAGCCCGCTGCATCGAAGCCTGAGGAGGCGATTAAGCTGAGCTCTTTCAGGTCGGACATCTTGGGCACGTGGCGGAGAGCAGCGTTGGAGAGGGTGGTGAGATTGTTCAGCTCCAACGAGGTCCGTTCTGGTGTGTGTGCGCTCCATGCTGACAGCACTTTCTGGGGGAAGAAACACACAGACGCACAAGACATTGCTTGAATTGAGGCGCATTTTCTGCTTACCTACGAGATCATTCGAAGAAGAAACGTTGTAAAAGGCAGAGACATGTGGTACAGACATAATGTATGTCCATGTGCATGTGCCCAAACACATGTTGCTGCAGAGCAGTAAGAGCACAAAAAGTGCTGAAAAGAGAGGGATATACAAGAAAGATAACTGTGCATGAGTCCCTCTTACCTCCCATGTGTGCTTGCCTTCCCCCTGGCTGCGTGCAACTTCCGCGACAACTTTCCAGACACGATTACTCAGTTTAGCAACCTCCAATCTCATGGCTGTTACCTCCTCTGGCTCCCCCTTCTCTTTCTCCTTCTCCTTCTCCTCCCCCTCCATGCCCTTCTCTTCACCAGACCACCGAGTCACACCATTCTTCTGCAATGCAGCCACTGCTGATCCTAGCTCGATCAACTGCTTCTCAACGCATGCCTTGCCGCTGCTTCTCAGCGCCTGGCCCTTCACCTCCACCATCCGTTCCTTCACTCCAGTCAACTGCCTTTTGACTTCAGTTACCTCGTTCTTTACTCCTCCCAGAATTTTCTTCACTCCAATCACCTCCCCTTTGACCCCAGTCATTTTCCCCTTCGCTTCCACTAATTCCGCTTTTACTCCTATCACCTCCCCCTTCACTGCAGCCAGCTCTCCCTCTCCCCTTTCCACCACAGCGGCTGTAGCCACACTCCTCTCTCCCACAGCATCTAGTGCTTGCTTCAACCATTCGACCTTACCTTCCAGAACAAAGTTTCGATTCTCCAGCATATGTACTCGGTCATTTTGCCTAGCCAGCTCCTCTCTAACTGCGGCCAACTCCCCTCTCAACATTCCAAACAATCCATTCATCCCTTCCCTTTCGACAGCCATCAGCTTTTACCAGCGAATGAACTTCAAAATCCTTCTTCTGGAAACGTGGCAACGTGGATTGTAAAGAATTGGATGAACGGTGGTAATTAGAGGCAGACGCGCATAGGATGCGAATAAAGAGTGGAATTAGAGTGGAATTACAGCAGGGTGGTATCAGAAGACAACCATGAGAATTGCGATAAAAGAAGGAGCTTCAAGATTACGAGACCTCACTAAAGGAAGAGCTTGAAGAGAGCGAGCTAAACCACCGGCTTGAGAAGAAAAAGTCCTAGTAACGACAAGAAGGAAACAAAGGGGCGCAGAATTCACGGTCTAACGCGGGCTAGACAATACAATTCCCAAGGAAAGAGAGCTACGATACCCAAGGAAAGAGAGCTACGAAATGTAAGTGAAGTAAAAAAAACGTGCGATTCTGCAAGGACCGGGAGCATCCCAAGTTTTGTGAACCAAACAACCCACGGGCTGACAAACGTAGATATTATACAGTTCCTTGTTACTTTACGCATAAGAGCCTGGCCTACACCACAGGCTAGAAGAGACTTGCAACAACGTTCACACATGTCACTTTAGACGGACTGTAACAACCTGGCGTGAAGTCACTTAGGCGCTCAACGTGCCTGGAGCGTTCAACGTGCCTAGATGAACGAGCGTTAAGCTCAGCGCACACCTGGCAGGGAGTCTTGTGTACGTAGGTGACGAGAAACGCATGAAAGGGGTTAAAGAGAGAAGGGAGAGCATAAAATGACCCCTTAGCGAAGCAGAACATTATACGACGGTTTCGACGTCACCTAGGTAGCCTCATAAAGAATTTCGCTAAACTGAAATATCTTGCTGCTAGAGGAGTGCACTAGGAGAGTCACCATGGCGCCTTGTCGCATTTTTTTCGGTCCTAACTGAGCTCACCCACGGAATGGACTGCCACGCGATGTGAATGTTCGCCTTCAAGCTAAAATCGCGAATCTCCAACGAGGATATGAGGCGGAAAGAGCACGGCAGCGAATGGTATACGCGAGAAAACAGGATAGCGTGAGGAAGGGGCTTGACGGAGGAGAGTATAGAAAATTACTCGCAGAGGGACACAGATAGTTGATGATGCTGAGTCGTGAAGTGGACTTCTCTTATTAGTGGTTTGTTTATTCATGCAAATCAGATAGGTTTGACTGGACCCTTGGGAATGTGAGGCACCACGTCACGAGTGGCGAGGTGGTGAGAGAACCCGCACACATTTCTTCAAACAGAATCACTACCTTGTGACATCGTCTATCAGTGAATGTGACAGAACGCTGCCCCATGAAACCAGAACTGTCGCTCGAGCCTTCGCTTTGCGCATCTCCGCCAGACAACTAAGGAGCAACGAGGTTCAAGTTTCTGGTAAAGGGAGGTTTCTGGTACAGACGACACTGCGATAGTGCAATACTGTACAACAAGGTGCAACCGCCAACGTGAACACCGTGGCGCCACCACGTGTTGGTCAGTGACTCGTGTTGGCACCAAGCCGAATCTGGTCAAGTTCTTTCACCCAATCCCGGCGCAATAAAGCGATATCTGATTGGTCGTAACATCTCGAGCATCAAAGTGACGCAACTGTTTCTGAAGTTGCATATAGTAACAAACCGATAACAATCAAATCAGCAATAACATGGATTACTTCATGGTGTGAATCACTTCGGTGCTTATTCTGCACAATCTCTTCTCGGATTCTCTAGAAATGCAAGACAGCACATTCGCTGTGACCCTCCCTACCCTCATGGGCATAGACCCAAGCCTGCCGGTGACTCAGCCTGCCAAATCATCCACCCTCGCTGTACCCTCACACACACTTGGCGCGATATGGTGGTCTTGATGCCTGCTTTGCCGCCTTGCATGATGATCTGAGAGTGGCCCCATTTGTTGTGACCGCTGAGTCGACTCAAAGGTCATTCGCATTGCCCCCATCCATCACACACACTTGGCACGATACAGTGGTCTGGATGCCTGCTTCGCCGCCTTGCGCGATAATCTATGCGGCACCCCATTCGTTGTGCCCCGTCCTCCCTCCTCTCCCTTCTCGTCCCTCATGCCTTGCACCGATGCCTGCTGGTGAATCCCGGCCACCTCATCTGCCCGCGATGCAAACACCAAGTCATGAAAATTCTTCCCTGATCTCCTCTCTCCCTCCCCTTTCTTATCCCCTTTTCCCTGCTTCACCCCCTTGCCACCTCCCCCACTACTCGCTTCCCCATCCCCATCCCTGCTCCCCTCATCCTCCCCTTCCCTCACCTCCCCTGCCTCCCCCATTTCCCTCATCATCCTACTCTCCTCTATCTGCTTCTTCCTGAACCACTCATGCGCCGCCACGTGTGCAGCTGCCATGTCACCGCTGTACGGAGCAACCTTCACCATAGTCACAAGCCGCCTGCTCCACCGCTTGGTCAGAATCTGCTCGCTATTGGCCACCAGCTTCAGGCACGGATGCCCCGGAATTTCCTCGGGCAGATACTCCTCTCGGGCAGCAGGGTAGAAATAAACAAGCCGCCCACCAATGACGAGCAGACGGGCAGACGTGTCTAAAAGATCGTGGAGGCACTCTTCCAGGGAGTAAGGGGCGGTGGAGGGAATGTGGGCAGCTTTCAAGTTGTCTGCTATGGCGTACGGATCTGTCACCCCGTTGAGAATTTTCCTCCCGCCCGACTTTCGGCCGCCTGCCCGGACGCCGTAGGGAGGGTCACCGACGATGGCATGGAACATCTGGATATAGAAGAGTAAACCACGGGGAAAAAAAGTAGGAATACTTTAGGCGAGTGGGTGGGTGAAGGAAGGGATCGAGCAAAGCATTGTACTTATGGGCGCCTGCTAGGGAAGGTCAGGGACGATGGCATGGCATGGAACATCTGGAGATAGCAGGGGAAACCACGGGGAGTAACACATATGAATATACTCTTTGGAGGTGGGTGAAGGAAGGGATTAAACAAAGCATCGTACTTTTGAGGCGCCCCCCAAAAGGGCAAGAGGTGCTCAAAAGTCATTAAAGTCTTGAGCGCACCTTGTGAGAAGTGGCCCTCAAAAGCCCTCAGAACCCACGGGCTTTTGAGAGTGGAGCTTGCTCGTATGGGAGAGGGGACGAGCAGGGAGAGGGCAAGAGGTGCACGCACCTCTCGCAGGTCTTGCCTCCAGGGAGGGCAGTTGTTGTCTGCTTGCAGCAATCCCAGTGGTGGCTTTTGAGGCGCATCACATGTCCTCAAAGTTCAAGCACACACCTCTAGTAGGTCACTTGAGGCACCTTGAAAGTTGGCTCTTTTTAGGGCCTCAAAAATCACACGCACCTCTCTTAAGTCTTGCCTCCAGGGAGGGCAGTTGTTGTCTGCCCGCAACAAGCCCACTGGTGGTTGAAGCGAGTACTGCACGGGAGAATAAGGAGAAAATAAGGAGAGGAATAAGAAAGAAGAAAATGAAAGAAGAGAATACAGTGGAAGGCGAGGGAATGAGATGAGACGGAAGGAGAGACAAGGAATGAGGGAATGAGAGGGTCAGCAAGTGTAAGCAGAGGAGGGGAGGAGCCATAGCGTGGCAAGGGCTAGCGAGTTGGCTCACCTGGTGGAAGTTGGCCCACAATACTCACAATGCTCTCACGCTATGACTGCACACTATGGCTGCACTCTGAATGCTCACCTGGTGGAAGTTGGCCCACAATACTCACAATGCTCTCACGCTATGACTGCACACTATGGCTGCACTCTGAATGCTCACCTGGTGGAAGTTGGCCCACAATACTCACAATGCTCTCACGCTATGACTGCACACTATGGCTGCACTCTGAATGCTCACCTGGTGGAAGTTGGCCCACAATACTCACAATGCTCTCACGCTATGACTGCACACTATGGCTGCACTCTGAATGCTCACCTGGTGGAAGTTGGCCCACAATACTCACAATGCTCTCACGCTATGACTGCACACTATGGCTGCACTCTGAATGCTCACCTGGTGGAAGTTGGCCCACACGTCCCGATTGGGGCCCTTGCCGTCGCGCACCACCCGGATGTCAATGTCCGCTCCCTGATATTGGTGGTGGTAGGGGAGTCGGAGAGCGGGGGAAATGGAGGCGAGCTGACTTTTGAGTCGACTCGAATGTGGATTGCAGCCGTTCCAGTCCCAAAGCCCAATTGATTGGATCGATTGCATGCCACTTCTCACCAGGGTGGATGTGATCCTGAATGATGCAAGCCACCCTCTCACCAACGTGACAAGCGGCCACCAGGATGCTCCCCGTGCCCACCAACGGGTCGTACATGAGTGCTCCGCGCCGCGCCACACACTAGTCTGATGTGGTTGTAATGTTGTACGCGATAATGAGTAACTCTCACTTACCAGAGTGACGGCGCCAAAGTGAGCAGCAGCCACCAGGATGCTCCCTGTCCCCACGAACGGGTCGTACATGAGCGTGCCGCGCCGCGCCAGTGCCTGATTGGCCATGAGTAGCGACAGCTCAGCGTCCATGGCGGTGGGACCCAAGTAGCGCCGGCGACTCAACTCGTACTTGGTGGCGACCGTGCGGTCTGATACTGCCACCTGTGAGTGTTGAGAGGGGGGAGATATGTGAGGAAGGAGGGAAACGTGTGCGGCAGCAGAGGGGATTTTCAAGGTACTGTCGGCGGCTGAGCTCGTACTTTGTTGCCACTGTGTGGTCTGACACTGCCACCTGTGAGTGGGCGGGGGAGGGAGGGGGGAAGCACAGCAACAGCAACTGTGGGTAAGGAGGGAGGGGCTACCTGTGGGTAAGGAGGGAGGGGCTACCTGTGGGTAAGGAGGGAGGGGGGCCAAGGAGGGGGGGGGGGGGGGGGGGGGCAGCGACCCTGTGCAGTCAGGCAAGTGCAGAAAGCAGTAGCTCTGTATCCATGACAGATGGGATGGGTGGGGCGACTACCTGCAGTGGGGCGACTACCTGCAGTGGGGCGACTAACTGCAGTGGGGCGACAAACGGGCACCTCTCTTCCCTCACACGCACCTCTCCTACCCCGCACGCACCTCTCGGCCAATGAACACGCACCTCTCGGCCAATGAACACGCACCTCTCGGCCAATGAACACGCGCAAGGGCATGTTGGGTGGGAGGCCGTTGTTGGTGCATTCTGCTGCCTGCTCTATCACCCAGAACTTGTAGTCGGGCGAGCCCAGCTTCACCTTGCCCTGCCACGTTAAAGGGGGGACGGCACAGGAAAAATCAAGGGTAAGGAGGACAGGCAGAAGGGAGGGTGGAGGCTGTTGGTGGTGTCTTCTGCCTGCTCTATTGCCCAGACCTTGTAGATTGGCTAACTCAGCTTCACCCATCCTTGCCATGCCAAGAGCAAGGGGGAAACAGAGGCTAATGAGGGCAGGGTGAGAGGGGAGGAAGGTTGCGCGACGGAGGTACGTCGATGGGGGGAGGGGAGTGTTGTTGGTGCAGTCTGCTGCCTACTCTATCATCTATAACTTGTAGTCGGGAGAGCTGAGCTTCACTCGGCCCTGCCAAGCGTACGTATGATTGGGGCAGGTAGGTTAAAGTGAGGGTAACGAGAGCCGCCAGGGGGACGGAAGGAGGGGGTGGGGTGGAGGGGGTGTTGTTGGTGCCGTCTGCCGCCTGCTCTATCACCTAGAACTAAAATCATGCGAGCTCAGCTTCACTCGGGAGCTCAGCTTCACTCGGGAGTCGGCCCTGCCATGGCAAGGAAGAGGGAGGGGGCATATCGCAGCGAGAACAGAAGAGGCTGCCTTTCTTTGTGCTGCTGTTGGCTCAACGAGGATGGGAATGTACCTCTTGGCCAATGGGAATGTACCTCTTGGCCAATGGGAATGTACCTCTTGGCCCATGGGAATGTACCTCTTGGCCAATGGGAATGTACCTCTTGGCCAATGGGAATGTACCTCTTGGCCAATGGGAATGTACCTCTTGGCCAATGGGAATGTACCTCTTGGCCAATGGGAATGCACCTCTTGGCCAATGGGAATGCACCTCTTGGCCCATGGGAATGTACCTCTTGGCCAATGGGAATGTACCTCTTGGCCAATGGGAATGCACCTCTTGGCCAATGGGAATGTACCTCTTGGCCAATGGGAATGTACCTCTTGGCGAATGGGAATGTACCTCTTGGCCAATGGGAATGTACCTCTTGGCCAATGGGAATGTACCTCTTGGCCAATGGGAATGTACCTCTTGGCCAATGGGAATGTACCTCTTGGCCAATGGGAATGTACCTCTTGGCCAATGGGAATGTACCTCTTGGCCAATGGGAATGTACCTCTTGGCCAATGGGAATGTACCTCTTGGCCAATGGGAATGTACGTCTTGGCCGATGGGAATGTGCCTCTTGGCCAATGGGAATGTACCTCTTGGCCAATGGGAATGTACCTCTTGGCCGATGGGAATGTACCTCTTGGCCGATGGGAATGTACCTCTTGGCCAATGGGAATGTACCTCTTGGCCGATGGGAATGTACCTCTTGGCCGATGGGAATGTACCTCTTGGCCGATGGGAATGTACCTCTTGGCCGATGGGAATATACCTCTTGGCTGATGGGAATGTACCTCTTGGCCGATGGGAATGTACCTCTTGGCCGATGGGAATGTACCTCTTGGCCGATGGGAATGTGCCTCTTGGCCGATGGGAATGTGCCTCTTGGCCAAAGGGAATGTACCTCTTGGCCAATGGGAATGTACCTCTTGGCCAATGGGAATGTACCTCTTGGCCAATGGGAATGTACCTCTTGGCCAATGGGAACTTGGCCAATGGGAATGTACCTCTTGGCCAATGGGAATGTACCTCTTGGCCAATGGGAATGTACCTCTTGGCCAATGGGAATGCACCTCTTGGCCAATGGGAATGCACCTCTTGGCCAATGGGAATGTACCTCTTGGCGAATGGGAATGTACCTCTTGGCCAATGGGAATGTACCTCTTGGCCAATGCGAATGTACCTCTTGGCCAATGGGAATGTACCTCTTGGCCGATGGGAATGTACCTCTTGGCCGATGGGAATGTACGTCTTGGCCGATGGGAATGTGCCTCTTGGCCAATGGGAATGTACCTCTTGGCCAATGGGAATGTACCTCTTGGCCAATGGGAATGTACCTCTTGGCCGATGGGAATGTACCTCTTGGCCAATGGGAATGTACCTCTTGGCCGATGGGAATGTGCCTCTTGGCCAATGGGAATGTACCTCTTGGCCGATGGGAATGTACCTCTTGGCCGATGGGAATGTACCTCTTGGCCGATGGGAATGTACCTCTTGGCCGATGGGAATGTACCTCTTGGCCGATGGGAATGTACCTCTTGGCCGATGGGAATGTACCTCTTGGCCGATGGGAATGTACCTCTTGGCCGATGGGAATGTACCTCTTGGCCAATGGGAACGTACCTCTTGGCCAATGGGAACGTACCTCTTGGCCAATGGGAACGTACCTCTTGGCCAAAGGGAATGTACCTCTTGGCCAAAGGGAATGTACCTCTTGGCCAAAGGGAATGTACCTCTTGGCCAATGGGAATGTACCTCTTGGCCAATGGGAATGTACCTCTTGGCCAATGGGAATGTACCTCTTGGCCAATGGGAATGTACCTCTTGGCCGATGGGAATGTACCTCTTGGCCAATGGGAATGTACCTCTTGGCCGATGGGAATGTGCCTCTTGGCCAATGGGAATGTGCCTCTTGGCCAATGGGAATGTACCTCTTGGCCAATGGGAATGTACCTCTTGGCCAATGGGAATGTACCTCTTGGCCAATGGGAATGTACCTCTTGGCCAATGGGAATGCACCTCTTGGCCAATGGGAATGCACCTCTTGGCCAATGGGAATTCACCTCTTGGCGAATGGGAATGTACCTCTTGGCCAATGGGAATGTACCTCTTGGCCAATGGGAATGTACCTCTTGGCCAATGGGAATGTACCTCTTGGCCGATGGGAATGTACCTCTTGGCCGATGGGAATGTACGTCTTGGCCGATGGGAATGTGCCTCTTGGCCAATGGGAATGTACCTCTTGGCCAATGGGAATGTACCTCTTGGCCAATGGGAATGTACCTCTTGGCCGATGGGAATGTACCTCTTGGCCAATGGGAATGTACCTCTTGGCCGATGGGAATGTGCCTCTTGGCCAATGGGAATGTACCTCTTGGCCGATGGGAATGTACCTCTTGGCCGATGGGAATGTACCTCTTGGCCGATGGGAATGTACCTCTTGGCCGATGGGAATGTACCTCTTGGCCGATGGGAATGTACCTCTTGGCCGATGGGAATGTACCTCTTGGCCGATGGGAATGTACCTCTTGGCCGATGGGAATGTACCTCTTGGCCGATGGGAATGTACCTCTTGGCCGATGGGAATGTACCTCTTGGCCGATGGGAATGTACCTCTTGGCCAATGGGAACGTACCTCTTGGCCAATGGGAATGTACCTCTTGGCCAATGGGAATGTACCTCTTGGCCAATGGGAATGTACCTCTTGGCCAAAGGGAATGTACCTCTTGGCCAAAGGGAATGTACCTCTTGGCCAAAGGGAATGTACCTCTTGGCCAATGGGAATGTACCTCTTGGCCAATGGGAATGTACCTCTTGGCCAATGGGAATGTACCTCTTGGCCAATGGGAATGTACCTCTTGGCCAATGGGAATGTACCTCTTGGCCAATGGGAATGTACCTCTTGGCCAATGGGAATGTACCTCTTGGCCAATGGGAATGTACCTCTTGGCCAATGGGAATGTACCTCTTGGCCAATGGGAATGTACCTCTTGGCCAATGGGAATGCACCTCTTGGCCAATGGGAATGCACCTCTTGGCGAATGGGAATGTACCTCTTGGCCAATGGGAATGTACCTCTTGGCCAATGGGAATGTACCTCTTGGCCAATGGGAATGTACCTCTTGGCCGATGGGAATGTACCTCTTGGCCGATGGGAATGTACCTCTTGGCCGATGGGAATGTACGTCTTGGCCAATGGGAATGTGCCTCTTGGCCAATGGGAATGTACCTCTTGGCCAATGGGAATGTACCTCTTGGCCGATGGGAATGTACCTCCTGGCCGATGGGAATGTACCTCTTGGCCGATGGGAATGTACCTCTTGGCCAATGGGAATGTGCCTCTTGGCCGATGGGAATGTACCTCTTGGCCGATGGGAATGTACCTCTTGGCCAATGGGAATGTACCTCTTGGCCGATGGGAATGTACCTCTTGGCCGATGGGAATGTACCTCTTGGCCGATGGGAATGTACCTCTTGGCCGATGGGAATGTACCTCTTGGCCGATGGGAATGTACCTCTTGGCCAATGGGAACGTACCTCTTGGCCAATGGGAACGTACCTCTTGGCCAATGGGAATGTACCTCTTGGCCAATGGGAATGTACCTCTTGGCCAATGGGAATGTACCTCTTGGCCAAAGGGAATGTACCTCTTGGCCAAAGGGAATGTACCTCTTGGGCAATGGGAATGTACCTCTTGGCCAATGGGAATGTACCTCTTGGCCAATGGGAATGTACCTCTTGGCCAATGGGAATGTACCTCTTGGCCAATGGGAATGTACCTCTTGGCCGATGGGAATGTACCTCTTGGCCAATGGGAATGTACCTCTTGGCCGATGGGAATGTGCCTCTTGGCCAATGGGAATGTACCTCTTGGCCAATGGGAATGTACCTCTTGGCCAATGGGAATGTACCTCTTGGCCAATGGGAATGTACCTCTTGGCCAATGGGAATGTACCTCTTGGCCAATGGGAATGCACCTCTTGGCCAATGGGAATGCACCTCTTGGCCAATGGGAATGTACCTCTTGGCCAATGGGAATGTACCTCTTGGCCAATGGGAATGTACCTCTTGGCCAATGGGAATGTACCTCTTGGCCAATGGGAATGTACCTCTTGGCCAATGGGAATGTACCTCTTGGCCAATGGGAATGTACCTCTTGGCCAATGGGAATGTACCTCTTGGCCAATGGGAATGTACCTCTTGGCCAATGGGAATGTACCTCTTGGCCAATGCGCATGTACCTCTTGGCCAATGCGCTGCGCATCTACCCAACCCACCCACCTCGAAGGGGATATAAGCAAATCGTTCCATCCTCTCCCTCTGCTCGTCCATGGAAAAGATCTTGCCGAAGCCGTCCACTACCATGAGAGAGAGGGGAGGGGGGGAGGAGAGTATCAGCCTACACCGACCACCATACGCACGCACCCCCCACCCACCTGGAAGGGGATGTATGTGAATCGCTCCATGCGCTCCCGCTGCTCGTCCATGGAGAAAATCTTCCCAAAGCCGTCCACCACGATCTTGAACGTGGACCCGGGGGCTGTGAAGGGCGCGATCTTGGTGGTGATGTTCGCCTCAACCTGCGGCTTTAGTGCCTCGTAGGTCGGGGCCTCTGCCCATATGTCGAATATCCCCTTTATAAGCAGGCCTGGGCGGGTGGGGAGGGGTGGAGAGAGAAGGGAAAAAGGAGGAACAGGAGGGTGGGTGGAGCCAGGGGCTGTGATGTGAAGGGCACGATTTTTGTGGTGACCTGCGACTTTAGTGCCTCGAACATTGGTGCCTCCGCCCATATGTCGAATATCCCCTCAACGAGCAGGCCTGGGGGGGTGGGGGGGTGGAGAGTGAGGGGTTAAGGATGATGACGTGGGAACTGAGATATTAGTGATGGGGTAGGAGAGAGGGTGGGAGACGAAAGTGTCATGGGCTGCGTCTCTAAGAATACGGTGGGTATGGAGATAGGATGGAAGGACTGGGGAGCGTGTGGAGAACAAGTGTAGCAGGTAACGGCGTTTGGACACATCTCAAAGCAGGTAACGGCAAAGGGTGTCTCTGAGTGTTTGTTTAGGAGGCAAGGAAAATTGATGAAGTTGCATGGGATGATGAGGAGGAATGGCACGTGGGAGGGCTTATGAAGGGTTTTTCCGGCGTCAGCCAATCAAACATATTCACCCGACCTCCTAAACCCCCTGCAGCAGGCAAACAAAGAAACCCTGAACCCTGCAAGCTAGTAGATTGTACGACCCGCATCCTAATCTCTCCTCCATGCAACTCGCGGCAGTGATGGATATATGGGAGTGATGGGAATGACGAACAGAGAAACTTCAAAACCCTGCAACCTGGGAAACCCTCCTTCGCGCCACAAGAGGCGCGCATTCTCTTCACCTAAACCCTGAACCTTGACAAGCCAATCGTTAAACCCCAGATGCGGAAAACCCTCCCCGCGACTGCAGAGTTTAGAAAGTCAACCCTCAAACTGGCTCGCAATTCGGACCGCAAACATTTGACTCTCGAAGCTTCGGAGTGACACCGCATACAACGCCATGATTTCAGGACTAGAAGGTCCTGCCTTCGCGAAGCAATGGCTGCTGAAATGGCCTATTTAATATGCGGCTGAGATACGGATATCTATCCGACGCCTAGCGATTGTGTTAATCTCTTCGCCGACTCACTTCTAGCGGCAATTTGCCTCGCCACGTCATCAGACGGCAGATCCACGTAGAAGAACGGCGAGTCCATGTGATCGCCACGTGGCTTCCTCCATCTTACTGGCTCCCATTCACTCCCGCCTCCCCCTGATATCTCATACTCCTCCCGTCCTTCCATCTCACTGCCCCCTTCTCCCCGCCTCATCTCCTCGCTGCCTTCGTCTCCCCTCACTCCCTCGACCACCCGATCCCCTTCGTTCCGCTTCTCTCCGCCCCGCTCTCCCTCAGATAAAGCCGAGCCGGCAGGCGGCTGCAATTCCACGTCATCGTGACGTGGCGCGGCGTGATGAGCTGGCGGCTGCACGCCAGCGAGGACGGCGAGCGACTGCAGCTCGTCGAGGCGGAAGTCGAGGTGGCGGTGCATGAAATACGCCAAGTACCACATCGTGCCTTGCCGTTACTACCAGGTAGGTACGAGAATGAAATGCTGCTGCTGCTGCTGCTGCTGCTGCTGCTGCTGCTGCTGCTGCTGCTGCTGCTGCTGCTGCTGCTGCTGCTGCTGCTGCTGCTGCTGCTGCTGCTGCTGCTGCTGCTGCTGCTGGTGAGATGGGCCTGCACTTGCTGCTGCCGCTGCTGCTGCTCGAGCTGCTTATGCTGAAATCCACACCGTTACCAGTTAAGGTACTAAAATCCTTACTAAGGTGACGACGGTTGCTGCTGTGGAGATAGTGGCACGTCACGTCTATTGCGACATCGCATGAGTCAGTTGTTGGTCATGAACTGGACGCGCGACGCCTCGTCAGGAGAGGAGGTAGCGAGGGGAGTGAGGCTGTGGGGAAAGGAAGGATCCGCCATAAAGACTGATTTCCGGAAAATGACATGTACAAGAAATGACGGTTAACAAATCGGCAATAAAAGAGAGAAGCCAGCTAGAAAAATAGTCTACCAAAATTGAATCACTCATTCGGACAGCCCTGGCTCTATTTCAATTTCAACAATTACGAATGCCGATGTATTTAGCATTTTGGCATTTTATAGTGCATTTGTATTTTAACATATCGTTATCTTTCTGTTCTCGCCAGGGCTGATTTTATCAGGGTAATTACCATGATTTTAGGGTGATTACAGGCTTCTGACTTGGTGGTCCCTGCAAACTCAGTTTTTGTATTTTGTGAACTCTGATCCAATCAGAGAAGCTACTTAACGGACTCTGAATTCTTGTAACTAGGCTCAGAGTAGTGTAGTTGCGGACTCTGTCAATGTAGGGTATGCGTTCCGTGGACCCTGAATGCGAGGGTATCGGGATGAAGTTTCCTAGAAGCTTCGTTTCGATGACCCCCTTGTGCGTAATCATTTCTTCGAGTGGCCCCATGTGAGGTACCCCCTCCACGCGCACGTGAGTGACGTAATACCGACAAAGGAAAACACCGACGTGCTGTACATCACAGCTGGCAACAGCGAGAACGCAGCCAAATCAATGACACGGTGCTACCACGCGCACCGCACAGTGCACAGCATGCGTCTGCCATTGGCCAGAACGGCCTGTTGACACCATGCGGTGGCAGCCAAGGAGTCCGTGAATGAATTCGGCCTTGAATGCAAGGACGAATTCATCGTCGAATGTTGCCATCAAGTCCGTGGAATCGTGGCGCGGTGGTTTCGTGCTAATCCCACCATCTCCAACCTTCCCTTCCCTCCCCCTACCCAACAGCCAACGTTCCTTTGTTCACTAGGGTTTTCTTTCCATTCCGTGCATTCATTGTCTCATTTTCCTCTCGTTCAGTTTAGCCACCAATCTTGCCGCCATGGAGGCCATGCCGGCTGACGAAGCTGCTCCGGACACTGGCCCCGACGAGCCCCCTGTACCAGCGAAACCAACAACGCCGTCCCAGCCGGAGAAAGCTTCGGATGCTCCTCGCTCTGGGCTAGATTTTCTTAGAGCTACGGCTGCTCCCGTCACACCTGAACCGCCTAGGTCTACCGTTCACGACTCTGCCCCTGTAGTAACCCCTACTCCTACTGCTTCTCCTATTCGCGTCTCGTTCACTCTCCCCCTGGCTGTTGCTGGCTGCAGCAAAGATCCTCCACCGCCCTAGCCCAGTCCTACTCCAAGCACGGTGCGGGTGTCGCTTGGCCCGCCGTCGGCTACTTCCGCTCCCAAGCGTGCGCGATCTGGGAAGTGGGCGCAGAGTACTCTGCTGGTAGGAGGCCGCCGTATTCCACCGCCGGAAAAGCCCGATGAGCCTGCACAGAAAGAAGCTGAGCTGTCGGAAGAAGGCGACATCCCGGTGCGCGCGGATACCGGCTCGCCCGCACTCACCAAGGCGCAGCTGCGAGAGCAGATGTACCTGGAGGCGAGTATTAATTACGAGACGAAGTGGTCGGGATACTTCTCTTGGCTTGTGTTTGGGAAAACCAAGGACGATTTCCCGTACGTGAAGTGCAGCATCTGCATGTCGTACGGTAAGGGGAACACGAGGTATGCCATGCAAGGAGACGACGGAGGCCGTGACTTGCAGACGCAGTCGTTCCGGGCGCACGAGCATACGGACGCACACATGGCGGCGGTGGACCGCCAGATGAAGGTTGCAGCGGGAATCCGCGAGGGGCAGCAGGTGATTTCGAACTTCATCAACTACGACGACGAGGGCCGCCGCGCGATACGACTGATGCGGTCGACTCAGTTCCTGTGCCAGTGCGACGCGCCGATTAGCATGTTTCCTAAGCTGATGCGGCATCTTGCAGAGCAGGACACGCCAGACATTCCCCGGCAACGTACGGCGTTTATCTCACGTGATAAGTGATGCTTCAAATTGATTGCAAATTTAAACATGCATGTCAAACAACTTGCTTGACTATCGTGTACTAATAATTTCTCTGTCCTTTGTTGCAGCTACGGCTTCGAGCAGATGGTCCACAGCATGAGCACTTACCTCACCCAGGTTCAGATGGACCACGTCCTGGCATCAGCGTTCCTGGGCATCCAGTGCGACGAGAGCACTGACCGCACGCGAGGGAAACACATGATTGTGTACCTTACATTTCTGAAGAACCGCCAAGTTGCATGCGAGTTTTTCACTTTGCTGACGATCAAGCGGTGTGATGCAGGGTCCTTGTTTGAGGTGCTTCTGAACCATCTTCGCTCCGCTGCCGTCGATGTGTCCAAGATCGTCGGCATCAGCACGGACGGGGCGTCGGTCATGACTGGGAGAGAGAACGGATTGGTGGCGCGTCTTCGTGAACACGTCCCTCATCTGTTCTCATGCCACTGCATTGCCCATCGGTATGTGAGTTGGTCTGTATTGTAGCAGGTTATCTACGCTGATTGGTTTACTAACAAACCATGATACTTGTTCCCTGCTATTCACAGTGAGGCGTTGGCTGTGAAGGACGCCGCTGACTCAAACCCGGATCTCGGCATGGTCGACAAGGTGGTGCGCACTGTGGCGATGCTGCTCGGAAACTCCAGCGTGTGGAGTCAGCGGTTCAAGTACCTGCAGCGTGTGATTTACAAGACCAACCTGGAGATCCAAGGCATCCACACGGTGCGGTGGCTGTCTCGAGGAGGTGCGGTGGCCAGGTTGTGCAAGGTCCTCAGCGCTTGCATCGTGCTGCTCTGGGAGCACAATCACAAGGCGTACAAGATTATCACCTGCTACAAGTTTCAGTTCTGCTTGTTTTTCTTGGCCGACATCTTGGCGGACATGAACGACCTCAACCGCTGCTTCCAGAGACGAGAGGTGAGGTCGCATGTTTGTATGATGTTGCTACGTGAGGTTCGTAACTGCACTGTTGCCCATCCTTCTCCCTCTTGTCTACCCCTGCTCTGACACAGCTGGACGTGACTGAGATTGTGAAGACGATCGAGTCCACCACGAGTGACCTGACGGAGTGCTACTTGAAGCGAGAGAAAGCTTTCGGGGGCGAAGGGAAGAGCTGGCTGGTGAACTTCCTCAAAGTCCACAAGGAGGGTGGAGGCAAGCAGGTCTGGGTGCGCGGCGTGGACAATGCTGGACGCCCGATCAACCACCTGTACACCATGCATGAGCGGAAGCTGAAGGGGCACAAACACGGAAGCACCTACGCAGACTGCGTGAAGCTGTGCCGCAAATTCGCCCGTGACTGCGTAGACAACCTCAATGACCGTCTGGATGACCTTGGGAAGCTGGGGCCGACGAAGCTATTCCGGGCCGGGAAGTGGCCGAAGATCAAGGCCTAGCAAGAGAAGAAGTGTAAGGAGTGGCTGAATGGATGCAGCAGGCTGTTCCGCAACAAGCTGCCGAGATTCGACCTCAAAGCAGCAGAGAGGGAGCTTCCAACCTTCCGCACGATCATGGAGACACACCATGAGATGGAGAGCTTCACCCAGGGCCTGTCCAACTTCCTTGGGAGCGCAGACTCCAAGAGGTAGCCTATACTTTGCTAACATGGGTTTTACAGTCTTGTTGCGCATCGCTAACTGTTTCCGTTGTGTTGTGTGTACGAATGTGCCTGGCAGGAGATGGCCCAACCTCATCCTGCTGTGGCAGGCGCTGGCTGTGCTCCCCCTCTCCACCGTGGAGTGCGAGAGGGGGTTCTCCAGGCAGAACGTCATCAAGTCCTGGGTGCGAGGAGCGCTGTGCAACGCGCGTCTGGGGGAGCTGATGCAGATATCGCTCCTGAAGTATGAGATCGACTGGCCGGAGGCACTGGAGGTGTGGAGGTCCCTGCGGAGGAGGCGCCCTGCGAAGAGCTTGAAGCTGGCTGTGGCAGAGAGGGAGAGGAAGGGGAAGCAGAAGGAGGGTGAAGATGTGGCTGCTGGAAATGCCGGGGAGAACAAGGATGAGGGGGAGGAGGAGGACGATGATGAAGTGGAACAGGCCTTCGGCGACGATCAGGAGATCGTGGGGGAGGAGGAAGCGGAAGACCATCCATTCCTATTGGACGATGAGGATGTGGAGGAGGTGTACTTCATAGACAAGCCCGTGCACTAGACTAGATAGAGTAGGAAAGTGCATGCAGTTGTATAATTTTGGAAAATAGCGCACTGTTAATAGCAACCCTGTTTTTGCGCTGTAAACCCTGTCCGGTCAGAGTTCGACTTCGTGTGACACAGAGCTATCAGGGTAGCTACCTTGCGAAAAATGTGCCCTCATAATAGAGGGGCAATTTTTTTACCGGAATCAGGGAGTCCTAAAACGAAACGTCAGCCCCGGTTCTCGCTGTCCCAATCCACATGAACAACTGGACATCAACTGGATGATACTGAGGAGACCTTTTAAAAAATTGTTGCTCTGAGCTGAAACATATCTGACAGGCTTATTATCAGTCGAATCATTCGTGCTGTATGTTGTAAAGGATGTTACAATTAAATATCGAAATGCAAGAAAACATGTGTGTTTCAATTCTTCAAATGCTATCATTCTGTTCAAGGTAGGTGAGCTT